ATAGCACATTGGAAAATATATCCACTTTGTGTGCCTTTGTAATTTTGATAGATATTGCCAGATTTACACATTCCTAATGTATGAAAACGTCATCTATTGTAGGGCGTTCTGGTTGTTTCTACTTTGGATGATTGCAAATAAAGCTGCTATGAACAGTTGTGTATAGGTTTGTGTGTAGACTTAGTTTTCATTTCTCTGGGATAAATGCCAGTGTATTGTTTAGTTCAGTACAATTGCTGGGTCATATGGTAAATGTATGTTTAATTTTTTACGAAATTGCCTAACTACTTTCCAAGTGGCTATACCATTTTACATTCCCACCAGCAATGTATGGGAGATTCAGTTTCTCCACATCCTCATCAGCGTTTGGTATTGTCATTATTTTTTATTTTAGCTGTTTGAATCGGTGTATAGTGATATATCATTGTGGTCCTAATGTACATTTTCCTAAGAGCTATTGGTGTTGAAAATCTTTTCATGTACTTATCTGCCATCTGTTTACCCTCTTTGGTGGAGAAGCCCTTTATGTCTTTTGCCCATTTTCTAATTGTTTCTTTTTTACCGTTGTTTTGAGAGTTCGTTATAAATTCTAAGTTCCTTATCAGACATGTGGTTTGCAAATATTTTTCTCAGTCTGTAGCTTGTCTTTTCATCCTCTTAGTAGAGTTTTTCATAGAGCAAGAGTTTTTAATTTCAGTGAGCTCCAGTTTATCCATTGTTTCTTTTATGGATTGTGCTTTTGCTATCATGTCTAAGGACTCATTCACCAAGTCCTACATCCCAAAGATTTTCTTCTATGTTATCTTCTAAAAGTTTTATAGTTTACTTTTTACATTTAAATCAATGATTTACTGTGAGTTAATTTTTGGAGAAGGTGTGAGGTATAGATCGAGGTTCATTTCTTTTCACTATCCAATTGCTCTGGCACTATGTGCTGAAAAGTCTGTCCTACCCCCAGTGAATTGTTGTTGCACCTTTTCCAAAAATCAATTGACCTTACTTGTGTGGGGCTATTTCCAGGTTCTCTATTCTGTTGCATTGATTTGTGTGTCTGTTCCTGTGCTGATACTACATAATCTTGATTACTATAGCTATATGGTAAATCTTGAAGTCAAGTAGAATGATTATTCCTTTTTGTTTTTTGTTGGTTTTCAAAGTTTTTCTAGCTATTCCAGTTCCTTTACCTTTCTATATAAACTTTAGAATAATCTTGTTGATATCTACAAAACATTTTGCTATGATTTTGGTAGGAATTGTCTTAAACCTGTATATCAATGTAGGGAGAATTGACTTCTTTACATGCTGAGTCTTCCAATCCAGAAACATGACATATTTCTCCATTTATTTAGATCTTCTTGAGCCCTGGTGGCACAGTGGTTAAGAGATCAGCTGCTAACCAAAAGGTTGGCAGTTCAAATCCACAAGCTGTTCCTTGGAAACCCTATGGGGCGGTTCTACTCTGTCCTATAGGATCGCTATGAGTCGGAATTAACTCGATGGCAATGTTTTTTTTTAATTTCTTTAATCAATGCGTTATAGTTTTCAGCATTCAAGTCCTGTACTTGTTTGTTTGTTTTAGATTTATACCTAAGTATTTAACTTTTTTGAGTGATTGTAATGGTACTGTAGTTTAAATTTTGGTTTCCATGTGTTATAAGAGGCAGTTAACTCTTACTTCCTCACCTGGCCCCTTCCCTCACTTGCATTCCTCATCTGGCCTCCATAGGCATCTAAATGTTCTGATTTGTGCCATTTGGGTGATTCAATTCTTGACATATTTTCTGTGATTATTTGTGATATTTGATTTGGTTGTGTTTTATGATAATCTTCATTGGCTACTCTGTTCTATTGAGAATTTTAAGGATTTGAAACACAAAGGCTTCTTTTGTCAGTAGTCTGGTCTAAACTCTGGTTATTTCCAAAAGCAAAGGCTGGAGTGAAGGTCAGTTTTCTTTGTTTCTGTGAACCTTTGATCAGTGATTCTTTGTGTTCCAAGCTCTGGCCTTGGACATTTGTTCCCAACTAACAGGATGGATCTAATCTATCTAGGAATGGGAAAGTGATGGAGCGTGGGCCATCCCACACCTTTTATAGGGGGTGAAAGGCTTTTAAATGAAAGAACTTGGAGATTACTCCAAAACTGCACTAAAGTTCACACTCAGGGATTTTTCCCTCCTCCAAAATGAAAATATCTTTCTTATTTCTCCTGGTCATTGTAAATACATGATATTACTATAGGTCTTGCACATTTCTTGGTATATTTTTGCTAGGTATTTTGAAGTTTCTGAGACTTCTGTGAATTGTATCCAGTCACCCTAATGCACTTTCTTATTATTTCCATTAGTTTTGCACTTGATTAAAATTTTTGTCCAGTTAAACAACATATCATCTGTCAAAACTTTTATTCTTTTCTTTCTTTTTAATATTTACATTCCTGATTTCTCTCTTGGTCTTGTTGCATTAGGTAGACTCTTCGTAATGATGCAGACATTGAGAACGGATGTCTGAATCTAGGTCCTAGACGTGCTGCTGGAGTTTTGACATCAGGTGTGCTGTTTGCTGTTATTCTGATACTTTCGTTCATGTCAGGAATGGTTTCCTCTATTCAAGTGCACCACTTTAAAAAAGTCAGATATAGATATCAAATTTCATCAAATGACTTTTCAGCATTTGTTTATGTGATCATTTTTTTCCTCCTTTAATCTATTAATGAGATGGATTGCAGTGCTAAATCTCCTAATATTCTTAATGTTAGGAATCTTAGAATTCCTAAAAGAAAATACCAAAATACCTAAATTCCTAAAAATATCACTTGACATTTTTGGCATTTGTTAAACATACACTGGCTTTAATCTGCTCGGATTCAATAAATGGCTTTTTTCATATGATCAACTTTTGTTGTTCCTTTCATAATCCTCTAATTCTTTGAAAAAGCTTCATCTTAATACTAGTCTACAGGTATTTAAATTTTCTAAAAACATATTTAAACTTTTTCTGTATTTCTCTATCAATGCAATGAATAATATTACCCCACTTGGTTCATAAGACAAAGCCTTCAGTGAGCTGCAACTTTACTTCTCTTTCTCCACCTTCCAGTTTGATGAAGTCATCTGGAATTGTAACTGGAGTTGTTGTTTTTAAATCATTGTTTCTTTTTACACATCTTCTAATAATTCCTGTACATATGAATCTTTGCAAATTAGTTATCAAAAATTAATTAGACTTTATTGGTCTTATGCCTTTCATCATTCTCTACTGTTTCTTATATACCATGTCTATCACATTTATTAAATTATTATTTTTTAAATGTTTATTGAGAGAACTTCCTAAAGTAATTATTTTTTCAGAAAGAGAATGTAGGAGTGTGTGTTCCTGTGTTTTCACATGACACAGAGTGTCTTTTAACCCTCACATGTGTGCAATGGTCAATTATGTATAGAATTCCATAGCCATAACCCATTTCCTTCGAAACTCTGTAAGCATAGTTCTGACTCTACATTCAGTACTGCAGAGGAGAAGGCCAATGACCATCAGATTTTCATTCCTTGATAGGTAATCTCTTTTCGTCTACTGAAAAGTCTATGGAAATATCCTGCTACATGTGGAAATAAAAACTTATCCTTGGATTTAGGTAGGCTAAGTCTTTTGCCACAATTCTTTCCTGATAATTAGTGAGTTCTTTTGGACCAGAGACCTAAAACTACTTTAGTTCAGAGAAAATTTTATTTTTTCTTTTTGATTATTATTTATTTTCTATCTGCACTATTCTCACCTTGTGAATTCTATATGATGAATCCTCCAGGTTGAGATTCTGTGCCTTCCCAAATCTTTTCTCAAATAACTTTTAATTCATTTTTTTCTCTGAAGTTTAGAAGAACAATTTAAGTTTTTTTTAATTCAAAAATTCGTTGTTAGTATTATCATTTCTACTTTTCATTGTTTGCTATTGACTTTTATTTGCTTAATAACGTTTTGTTTTTACTTCCAAGAAAATGTTCCTATATCCCAATCATCTTTTTTCCTAGCCTCTTTTTTCATAGACTGCTCTTGTTTTATTGATTCAGTAGCCTCTTGAATTCCACTAAGAATTATACTGAGTTTTTTTAATGTTTTTCCATCTTTCTGTATTAACTTTTTAAAAGCTGATTGTTTTGTTTCTTCTCTATGGGATTAAAAGTTCATATCAATTGTCAGAGGTTTTCTATTCTGTTCATTCTTTTAACTAGATTGATCACTATTAGAAGCTGGTTTGGAATTCCTCACCAATCATGTGAATGGTGGTTCTTAAATGTCTCATAGTGGATTTCACCTCCATGTTCTTCTGAGTACCATGTGGCTTTGGTGATTCTTAGGTGGCAAAGCAAGTGATGCCATCACTTGGCTGCATTCTCCTCACGCTATGCCAAGTAGTTGATAAAACTAATTCGCTCCTTCTTGACATATCTCAGTTTCCACATTACTCTGATGACCCATGGGAGACCACTGGTATCTAGGGATAGAGTCCAGGGTTGAATAACATCTTCACAAAGGGAAAACTCCTGCATGCCTTCCTCACTCCCCTCTCTGATCCAAGGCATGAGTGATTTCCTGGTGGGGAACTTGAGTGAAAACGAGAGAGAGAAATACAAGTTAGTTATAGAACCATGAGAGAGAAAAATTCAGGAAACATTTTTAAAGAATTAATATGACAATGAAACAGTAAGGAGAAAGATAAAAACATTTCTAGATACTATTTTATATGGCATAGGAAGAGCTGAAAGGTAACAAAAGTAAGCACTCATTCAAATATGTTCGGGGAAAGAAGCCATGGAGCAATTAAATAAAAGATCAGAGCTTTTCATTTGTTAAACAATAAAAATTTGAAGAGTCACTTTTCCTTGACCTCAGTGTGTTCATTTTCCGTTACAGAGAGTAAGAACTACAAGGCTAGACAAATGAGAATATACTTCTATGGAATTGTTTATAGAATGAAGTGGGAAAAGTCCCATTAAAAGCTCCCAGTTCACACAGAGTCCTTCTGTATAATGAGATTTATGTAACGTTTGATGAAGTTGGCCCACATCTGGTGATCTTATCCTCGGAGATCCTCAGTGGGAGAAAGCAGGGAGCACAGGACTACCAGGACCCCTCCCACCATCACTGGATGAAGCGTTTCTGAAATACCAGATTCTTCACAGCAGCCTTCACATCTTTGTTTCTCAGGCTGTAGATGATGGGGTTGAGCATGGGTGTCACCACCCCATAGAAGAGGGAGATGAGCTTGTCTGAAAGGTCCTGTTTGTCTGCCCCCAGTGGATCCCTAGACTTGGGCTTTGCATACATAAAGAGGATGGTCCCATAGAAGACAACCACAACTGTAAGGTGGGCAGAGCAGGTTGAGAAGGCCTTTTTCCTCCCCTCTGCTGAAGGGATCCTTAAGATGGTAGCAATGATGAACACATAGGAGAAAAAAATGAACAGCACTGGGATTCCCAGAAAGATCACGTTGGCCACTCCCATACTGATCACATTAATGGAGATGTCAGCACAGGCCAACTTCAGGACAGCCAGGATCTCACAGGGAAAGTAGTTGATGACATTGTCCCCGCAGAAAGGCAGTTGCATTGCTAGGGATGTCTGCACCATAGTGGTGGTGCTTCCAGCTGCCAAGGAGCTGGCAGCCATGGGCACGTAGGCAGTCTTTCTCATGATCTCAGGGTACCTAAGGGGGTTGCAAATGGCCACATAACGATCAAATGCCATCCTGCTCAGGAGTACACACTCTGTGGCTCCCATGGCGAAGGAGAGAAGCATCTGCACGGCACAGGCTGAGAAGGGGATGGTTTTCCTGGGAGTGAGGAAGCTATCAAGAATGAGTGGGACTGACGATGTTGTGTAGCAGATGTCCAGGAAGGAGAGGTTCCTCAGGAAGAAGTACGTGGGTGTGTGCTGGTGGGAGTCCAGGATGGTCACAAGGATGAGGACCCCGTTGCCCAGCAGGATCATCAGGTACACCACCAAGATAAGCACAAAGAAGATTTTCTCTAGCATTGGGTGGGCTGAGAGTCCCTGGAGAATGAACCCCATCATAGGGGAGGTCTGATTGGACCTGACCATGGGGTTTCTTATTTCATTTGCAGGAACTCAGAAGGCTAACTTCATCATTCTCTGATGTCTAAAGTGCCTGCGCCACCAGTGAGGAATCCCCGTTTTGCGGAGCAATTGGAGAACAGCTTTGACAATTTGGGGTTCTCTACATGGTTCTGAATACAATGCAGGGAATTTGATTAAAATCTACTTTGTGATCTCTGGCCACCTCATAATGAGGTTTGGGATGTCATCTGATTTAAGTTCCCTTGTCACTTTCATGATAAAACTAAAAAAACCCATACCCGTTGCTGTCAAGTCAATTCCGACTCATAGCGACCCTATAGGACAGAGAAGAACTGCCCTATAGGGTTTCCAAGGAGTGGCTGGTGGATTCAAACTGCCAACCTTTTGGTTAGTAGCTGTAGCTCTTAACCACTGTGCCACCAGGGCTCCAAATTCACCACAAATTTACTTTAAGTTACACCATGTTTGGCTGATTTGTTTAATTCAGTTTTGATAAGAAATGTGAGCTCCCACTTGTGTCCCCCACCCCCACCCCCGCCCAACTTTGGGCCTAGGACTGGTAGAAAGAACTGGTGCTCTTCATCTTTAATTCCTGCCCATTCTCCTCTCCAAGCACTTTTAGATACAATCTGCCTCCTGTTTCCATTTCTCTCTCACAATGTACAGGACCCTAAGCCGAGTTCATTCATTCATTCATCCATCTATGTGCCAAACTCCTCTGGAGCACTTATCAAAAGAGCCTGCATTTATCAATCACTCAATGTATACAAATAGTTAAGTCTCTTTTTCTCTCAGCCTCATTTCCCTAATGCTCACTTTAAAATCGGTTGTTTTTAGTGATATTCCCATCCCAGGGACTAATGGATCTCAAGACTTTCTCACTCTTGGACTTTCTATTGCACCATTGAGATGTCTTTTTCCCTTTCCTTCAAGACCCCCTGTACCACTTAGCCACATGAATGGGGCTGGGCCGAGAAGAGTTTATATATCCTTTAAAAAGCTGCTCCCTTACCTTTATCACATAAGTACTTGATAAGGAAAATAATTTCATGAAGTCTTGGAATAATCCAGTTGCCAAAAACAGCCAATCCAGTCAGGAACAGCAGCTAGAAGAGTCAGCTCCTAAAATGGGTGAAAGTTAAGTTTTCTTGTCTTTGTTCTGTATTTGGATAAAATCCACAAAGGACCATCTGTTGCATATACAAAGCCATTTAAATCCCACCCTGCTATTAAGATTATTCTAGTCCCTGAATTGATTTAAAGTTTAGAAATTGAAGTAACAAAGTTTAGGAACTTTTTATACACCTGGGATTATGTCCCCAAGATCCAATTATTCTAAAGTCCCTCCAGAAAAACCTTCTTCCCTCCTACCCTCTCTTCCTAGGAGTCCCTGGGTGGTGCAAACAGTTATGTGCTCAATTACTAGCCAGAAGTTTGGTAGCTTGAGCCCACCAATGGGTGCCTCAGAAGACAGGCCTGGCAATCTGCTTCAGAAAGGTCACAGCCTTGAAAACCCTATAGAGCTATTCTACTATGCACATGTGGGGTTGCCATGAGTCAGAATCAACTCGACAGCAGCTAACAACAATAGCAACAACCCTCTCTTCCTATCTATTCTGCTGAGCTACAAAAGCACTAGAGAGGAGAATTATCCTGGCCCTGCCAGAATTAACATAAACCCCTAATCAATGAAACTCTCACCCAGAGGCCATGATAGACCTGGGAGAATGAGAAACCCACCACACAACGCAAATCCTTGTAGCTCAGTACTCTTGGCCATGTCCACATTCAGGATCCCAGAGTTTAAAGACGCTAGCAACCTAAAAGTTCCCTTCTTATCTGTATCTCATCAAATAGACTCAGGGCTCCTACTGTAGGCTAGGCCTTTAAAGGACATTAAAAAAATCAGTTGCCATTGAGTCGATTACAACTCATGGTGATCTCATGTAGAACTGTGCTCCATAGGGTTTTCAGTAACTGATATTTTTTGGAAGTAGACTGCCAGGACTTTTTTTCTGAGGTGTCACTGGGTAGAATCGAATCACTAACTTTTCAGTTAGCAGCTGAGTATGTTAACCATTTGCACCACCCAGGGACTTCGGGGTCATCAATGAATCTGGTCATGGCTCCTGTGAAGAGTTTCACAGGCATAGCAACTGTGGGTTGGGTAAAGGACAGTTGATCTCAAAAGTGGGGTCTTGTTGCTTAAAGTCTTTTTCTTTGTGTGTTTGCATGAGTGTGCCTGTATCTGAGTATTTGTGAGACCATGGCTGGTTTACCATTGGGACCTGGGAGTCTTCTCTTCTAAGATCCAAAACTGAGATCTGTGATCACCAAGGCAGCATCCTGAAGCATCTTAAGCTTGGACCATTGTTTTCTGATAAACTATAGTTTTTTAACCATATTCTTATTTTCCTTTTCTCATTTAAGTTGGATGCTGGAAATGGTAGGTTATGCATGTGCTGTGCTCTTCTTCAAAGATGTCCATGGTGTGCAAGAAGAGTCTGCCCAGTATCAGGAACAAATTAAAGACCTGGGCAATTTCTCCGACTTCTACCATAAACAAAACAACTGCCTTATGCAATGGCTTATAAAAACCTTAGAATCAAATACATGCCACATTCCTATCTTAAATCATTATGTTTTGCTTAAATTTTTCATTCTGTAAAATATACATATTGAAGTGTTTAAAAAGAATATATGTAACATTTAAGGAAAAATAATAAACTACACACCACATACCCACAACCCTCGTTAAGAAGTAGAATGGTTCATTACCTTAGAGAAGTCTCTTATGTTACTCTCCTCAATTATATTCCCCCTTCTTCCCTCTCAACCAGAGGAGTCCACTTTTCTGACTTTTGTGGAAAGTGCTGTGGTAGTCAGAATCCTAATGATATTCTTCTTTCCCCATAATTCTTGTGTTCTGGTGATAAAAGTCAAACACTAATCCAGGTACTGTTGTGAAGGGATTTTGATGATATAATTAAAGTTCCAAGTCAATTGATCTAAAGATAAATATGTTATTCTGGTGGGCGTGACCCAATCAGACGAGACTTTTAAAAGCAGAGAGTTTTCTCTGGCTAGTAGCAGAAGGAAAAGACAGATTTAAAAGATGAGAAGGATTAGATATGACATTTCCAGATTTAAAGCTGCAAAGACCCATGAGCTAGGCCCAGAGAGCTGCCACAAGAAGCTGAGAGTGACCCCTGGTCAACAGCCAGCAAAGAAACAGAATTCACAGTCTGACAACCACAAGGAACTGAATTCTGCTAACAACCTGAATGAATTTGTGGTATAACCATTAGAGAGGACTTAATCCAAATAACTTTTAAACCAGTAATTTGATGTACATCTCTATGAGAGATATCCTAAAGATAAAAGGGGCTGTAAACATTTTTAAAAAACTGTTTTCACTGAGGTCTTGAAACCTTGTGAGTAGCCGTCTAAGTGGACATCTAGTGGTCCCACCCCGTCTGGAGCAAGGGAGAATGAAGAAAACCAAAGGCAGAAGGGAAAGATTAGTCCAAAGGATTAATGGACCACGATCACCAAAGCCTCCATCAGACTGAGTCCAGCACAACTAGATGGTGCCTGGCTACCACCACTGACTGCTCTGACAGGAATCACAATAGGGGGCCCTGGACAGAGCTGGAGAAAAATGTAGAACAAAATTCAAACTCAAAAAAAAGACCAGACTTACTGGTCTGATAAACACGGGAGAAACCCCAAGAGTATGGCCCCTGGATACACTTTTAACTCAGTACTGAAGTCACTCCAGAGGTTCACCCTTCAGCCAAAGACTAGACAGGCTTATAAAACAGACAATAATACACGTAGTTCAATCATGTATATGAGCCTAAATGGGCACACCAGCCCAGGGGCAAAGACAAGCAGGCAGGAAGGGACAGGAAAGCTGGATGAATGGAAATGGAGCACTCAAGTTCGAGAAGGGGAGAATGTTGACATGTTGCAGGGTTGGTAACCAATGTTACAAAACAATATGTGTATTAATTGTTTAATGAGAAACTAATTTGCTCTGTAAACTTTCACCTCAAGCACTCACACAGAAAAGAACAGAGGAAAAAACAACTATTTTCAGTAATCGCATCATTGTGTATACTTGCACAGTTAAGTGTTTGAGCAATTATGTTGGTGGAATTGAGAACAAACATTTTTGGCTTGGGAGAAAGGAGATAAAGATAATAGGTAAATTAAGTTAAGGAATTTGGATTGGCTGTATGTGTGAACTCATGATGTATTTGATCTCAAAAAATATATATAAGGGCCAAGATGGTGGAGTAGTCAGATGCTTCCTATAGTCCTTCTTGCAACAAAGACCTGAATAAACAAGTGAATTGATTATACATTACAATCTAGGAGCCCTGAACATCAAAGACAAAGTTGAGGAATTGGACTGAGTGGCAGGGGGAGGGAGAGACGGTTCAGAAGCAGCGAGGAGTTGCCAGACCTGACCTGGCTGGCACTGGCACCCTGCAGGCTGAATCAGCTAGCGTGCAAAGAGTGAGGCAAGCAGTGGTGCTTGGGATGCGTTTTCTACATCAGGAGAGACTGAGCAGCAAACAGTCTGCTCAAGCCTCCAGAACTAGCGAGAAACAGAGCTCAATCAGTGAAAGATAAGTACAAGCATCTAATCTACAGTGTGGATTAAAAAAAAACCCTTTTTGGGAAGTACCTCTCTCGTATTTACCTGCCCCTCCCTACTCTGCTCGGGATCCCAGTCCAGCTTCAGTGATTGCTGCACCCCCTGGGCTGGAAGTAGGACCTATCGTGTGCCCTGAACCATTCTCTCAGCTTTGGAGAGTGAACGAATGAACAAACAGGAAAAAATAATCTTCCACCTCCCCTAAGCCAAGAACTCAGGGCAGGCACAGCCCCTTTGCATAGGCACAGTCATAAGGAGTCCACAGACTTTGAATGCCTTTCACCCCTGCATAGATCTGTGTGGGCTTATTTTAACAACATAGACCCTCATTAGCACT